AAATCAGGCTCCTCTCCTGCTGCACACCCTGCGCCCCTGAAAAAGGAAATCCTAAAAGCCATATATATCCCTTGCACGGGATTTGTGGCATTGACACTTGAAATGCAGCCTCTTTTGGTGTGTAAAGTTGTCTGAATCCTCTTCCTGTTTATATAAGTTATTAGGAAAAAATACAGGAAAGCAGAGCTGTAGCTTCTATTAACTGCTTTGGGGCTGCTATGATGCTTTGGTCTAAATTTGGTTTTCTTGTAGGTTTTATATTGTTTCACATTTTCACCCAATAGATGGAGCCGTTACGGCCTGGTTTCTGGATCCTTTATAAAGAGTTTATTTTAGATACTGTAGACCTGTGTGGACTAGTCTTTTCGGCCAGTGTGCCACATAGCCCTGCACCATCTCCGAAAGCCACTCTGATCTCTTTCCCCTGCCTGATGCACCACTCTGCTCTCTATCTCTTACCACTCCTCTCCCTGACTGATCTACTCCTCTGCTTTCTACTTCCTGCCCCATCTGCTTGCTGCATGCTATACACAGAGGATGGCCTTACCACTTGCAACACATGTGCCACAAGTTGTCCATCCCAACCAAAGACCCATGTCTTTGGATAGTCCATAGGATGTTCTCACTTCCCCATAGCAAGTGATTCCTGTTTAGGAAAATGGAAGCTGATTTGCCCTGGACACAGCACCCTGCCGCAGTTGTCTCTGCCTGCAAATACACTCCTACAAGTACACCTTCCTTTGTCAACAACCAAGCCCATTAGCAATGTCAAATCAATGCTCATTCACTTCCATACCCTTCCTGACCCATGGCTCACCAAAGCAAACAGAAGTCTTTGCCAACTTGCCACTTAATGGGGAAAACTGCCAGTTCAACTTCAGGAAGTCTTGGATCAGATTTCAGAGGTAAGATTCTTCTCTTGGAAATGCAGGGCAGGCCATGACTCAAGTATTTTGCTCTCTGCAAATATAATAGAGCCCCACAAGCCTTGGCAAGGACTCCCTTTCAAAACGGAAGGGATAAGGCCCTTCCAGCACCGTATCTATAAGACCCAGCACCTAGCAGTTCCCTTTGTGACACTTCTGGCCAAATATTCAAAACAATCCTGACTTTGCCATAATCTATTTCCTGTTAGCTAGTGAAATTTTCACCATTGGCTTGATTGGAACATGCACCTTTGTTGTGAAGCAGTTAGAGATCATCTGCATACAATGTGTGCCATAACCTCACAAAATCAAGGAAATAAAGCTATCACACTGTAACTAACTCAGCTTTTCTAACCCAGCTTTATGCCTACCAATTACCCCATGCCACAGAGTCTGCGTACTTATTGTCTATTACAATGTATTCCACTTGCATGTATCCCAAGGAAGCAGGTAACTCAGGTATTAGAATAGCAGAATGCCAGTTCTGATTTGCTGTTTGTTACAGCAAACATTGATTATCCATGTATTGGATGATATTATAAGCCACTTAGGTGCATAGTACTTTTTGGGCCCCACTACTTGATTTCAAACATAATGGTACTCTAGGATAACTGGGTGGAATGGTGAAGGGGAATGAGCTTTCCAAGGACTGTTAATAGAAGCCTTGAAATTGGCAGGGCTCAGTCAGTGTCAGAGCTGTTCTATCCCCTCATTTTCCAGATGTCTAATAGCAGCCCTGCAGCATGTTTTTAGGAGCCTTGAAAATGAAGGGAGTGAATGTCAAGGATGCTAGTGCCACAGCACTGATAGCACCATGTACTTAAGGATCACTGGTTATATTTATTCAGATGCATGCGTACTTTAGGTAAGTGCAGAGCCTTTTTTTTCAGTCTCAAAGCCATCCATGCACTTAGACTGGGTTCACAGTATTTCTGTTGGAGCGTCTTCTAGAAGCTCCAGTCCTGGAACAACGCTTTACTATGGATATGTGACGGGGAGCCATCCCAAGGCTGGTCACAATATTGGCCTACACACCTGTCTAGGTCAGTCCACCCGCTTGACTCATCTGCCATGCCTTTATTGTAACTGAATAGTTGTTCCTAGGCAGGAGGCTGCCCATTTAATGTCCTGATGCCAAAGGAATAATACATGGCTCTAACTTCCCCTTTACCATGTCCCATGCCTTGCAGATGGCATCCAAAACCACTTCCAACTCCTCCATTACTGGGCTGCACTCAGCCACTAGCCCAAACTTGGCTTTAGGCATCCTCAGACATACCTTGACCCAGGCTTTGGCACTAACTTGGCCTCAGGGGTCCTTAGACATGCCTGGGTCTCTCAGGGACCTCTAATCTGCCCCCTTTCTGGGCTCCTTGCCTCTCATTAAGCTTATTGCCCCTCATACTCTACCCCCTCACTAGGCCTTATACCCCTTGGGCCTCAGGTGTCTGTCAGTGTTGGGGCTCCTGGGCCTTATGCCCCTTGAGCCTCAGGGGTTTGTCAATGTGCCTGGACCCCTAACTTGGCCTATGGCCCACTCAGCTGTCTGTCAACAAACCTGGACCTCACTCATATTCAAGCCTTCCCTTTGGCCTCACTCATTCAGGCCTTCCCCTAAGTCTACTCTCTCAGGCATTGGGTCTTGGGCCCTCCTGGCCCCTGTGTTGCTACCCAAGCCTCACTCTCTCAGATTTTGGACCTCGGGCCCTGGTGGCCCCATGGTTTGTTACCTAAGCCTAGTGACTTTCAAGTTGTGCTTCCTGAGCTTTTATCCTCTACAGGGTCACCCACAAAGCAGCAGGGGATGAGGATTTCTGGTGCCCCATACTCACCTTTCATTAGGGAAGGCATTGGTGTGGCATTTCCTGAAGACTACCCTGTCACAGGCAGCCCCACCATACCATCCAACCCCATCAGGGTGTAGTTTTAGGTCATGCCCTAGGACCAGGAACTTTCTCCATCCCCATAGCTCCTACCCTCTCTTCCAGTTGTTTTGGGAGCTGTAAACTGAGCCATATTGTCCCTCTGGCTCCCTAGATGTAACCACCAGCTCAGCTTCTAGGGCCTGGGCTTATACTGAGGCTGCCCATCCCTCCTCCAATCGAGGGCCCTCTTGCAGTCATGTGACTGCCTAATTGGGCCTGACCACACCTGCCAGCTACTCCACAGAGTGATGAAGCCCCTTAAAGTGTCAGGCACCAAAGATGCCCTGCCACAGGATAATGCCATTCAAAAATCAAAACCTGGTCCCTGCTGCCTGCCTTCCTTCCTTGAACCCTTCTTCATTAACATGTTCCCAAATCATTTCTTGCATGCACCCAACAAAAATGGAGAATGGATGGAGTGCACCATTTTTCAAGAGGGCAATTTTGGTAGCAGGTTGATATTGGAGAGATTAATAGTAGGCCAGCATGAAAATCCTGGTTGATTTTTTTTTTGTCATAAGCTGATCATTGTAGCATCTGTTCACAGAATCTGCCTCTGCTCCAGGTTCAGT